AAGTTAAGCGGTGAATTGAAGTTTATACTTTTAGGGAGGTTTCCTGTGTAAGCTTTGTGTGATTTTTCTGGAGAAGATAGTCGACATTTCGTTAATACTGAAGATAATTGTTGGAAGATTTTTCGAGGATACGTTGATACTGTTGATACAATTCTACTTAGCTGATTAATGTTTAAAAAAGGAAAGGTAATTAATCAGTAGCGTTGCTGAGTAGTTGTTCGCTATAGTCGTGGCTCAATGTTTCACTGTAATATAGGACACTTGTGACATTCTGAACATATCTGTAACATCATGTTCATGTTTCTTCGGTACGTAGAAACGTAGATCTATCTACTAACCGATTATTGTGTGCACAAAAAAAAAATTGCAGCCTCGCTCGATCGTCGTCTAGTTACTCGAGAAATTTAGAATCGAAGTTTAATATCAAATCAGGGACCACGTGAAATATAGTCCGGAATTCGCCTCGTTGCTTTCGTAAGGCACTTTTAAATCGATTATACGAGAAATTACATCGTAGAATGTGAAATTAACGTAGAATTAGTACCACACTGTGTGTGATGTTCCCTTTCTTCCTTAACGACTTCGAAATTAGCATCACCAAAGTAAGAAGATCGATATCTTCCAGTATCAATGAATATCCTCGTAACTTTCACACTGCTCGAAAAGTCGAAAATCTCAAATTAAGAAATAAAACAGTCTGCTTACACCTGGAACTCTTAAACGGGTACCAAAGGTGCCAATTGCAAGTTCCTCACACGAAGACGTCATAACGATTCGTAAACTTTCTACACCAAGGTAACTGTTTCAAATTTCGAAACGACACTTCGATCGATCTTATCCTATCGAAGAAAAAGAGATGGCGTATCGACCTTTAATTCTCGATTTGTTCCCCTTGTGAACGCGACGCGTTCCGTGTTCCTCCCGAAGGTAATAGGCCGAGAGCGTTTGCCTGTACTTAATAAAAGCGCACGTCAGTTGTACGAACTCCACGTGTAAACTGTATGTACCGAGCCAGACGTTTCTAGTTGTAATAACGATTTATTTATTATATACATCCTGTGAAGAGCGAGAACGAGCGAGAGAGAGAGAGAGATGGATGGTCCTTTTTAATCGTCACTGCCGACTATCGTCGACCCCTCCCCCCACAATTCTTCGCTTTTTTCTCATTGATCTATAAAACACCTCTCTTTTACCCTCGTGTCGTCGCCTCGGGAACGAGATCGTTTGCTTCCTCGACAAAGACTGAGCAAATTGTACAATAAATCTCTGTTATCGCTTGGATGCCTTGTGACGATGACTCGACGAGACCAACATAAAAAAAAAAAGAAAAGAATCATACTCGAATGACGACACTCGAGTAAAACCTTCGTTCTTTTGGTAACATCGGTGCGAAGCGCGACACGCTGTCGATCGAGCACCTTATCCTGGGTATAAACTGTTGGTTAAAACAAAAAAAAAAGTAATAGTAATAATAATAATAATAACAATAATAATAACAATAATAATAGTATTAACGATAATTTACACTCAACGAATTTGTTCATCGTTCGTTTCGAGTCCCAACGAATCGCGACCAAGGTGTAAACGGGCATTAAGACTATTTCCGTTCAATGGAAATTAAATAAAAAAGAAAAAATGTAGAGAGATTGAGAGAGAGAGAGAGAGAGAGAGAGAGAGAGCAAGAAACCATGACGCGCGAATTGTGCTATTTAGGTAAAGCGTACGCGGAACCAGAGTGACGTGCTTCGTTGCCGGGCATTTAAGGGTCACGTTGGTGAATTCAAGCTTGACCAATTACACACTTTCCCCTTGGAACAATCGTAGGATTATACACGCTGTATATGTCCGTTCAGTTCGATCACTTTCTACCGCGATATTAGAGGTACCTTTGCAAACAGAGGAAAAGAAACGAACAAAGAAAGAGAAAAAAAAAGAAACACACACACATATACACATAAACTCCATTGAATGTATGCCTGCTGCAGCTGCAAGTAATCTAGTGAAGCGTTGCAATCAAGCGTCGAGTTATTTAAGTATGTACCTCGATGAAACTTCCTGTGCGAGCCTCCGGACGCTATGTTTTGTCCCCCTGCGAAGAAGGATGCTATCTATGATAAATAAGAGATATTTTCATGTTGTAAATGAATCCATTTAGCGGCATAGGCGGATCCCGTGCGTTGTAAAAAGAGAGAAAAGGGGGAGAAAAAAACGTAAGGAAGGTTAAAAGAAGGGTCGCCATTGAAGGTAAACCAGCCTCGAAAAGATGGTGGAGGATTCCTCGTTTTCACGCTAATATTCTCGTTCGCTAGTCCCGTCGACGTTGTCTCGGACAACGCGCTACACACGCATATAGAGTACAATTGTCCCCGTGGTAATTTTTGTATAAGTGAACAATGCCCCTGCCCACCCTTCCCCCTTTTTCCACCGATGCTATACACATCCATCAAGCGCCCGCGTGTCTTTTAAGTGAGAATAAAAACGAAAAAAAATGAATAATAAAAAAGAGTATATATATACACACACATACACACACATACACACTTACATAAGCAAGTGTCCGCTTTAGATTTCGTAAATGTCGGCCCAACTTACTGCCAGCTGAGTGTAAACAAAGAAACAGACAAAAAATGGAAAAAAAAAACGAACGAATGAAAGATCCATTCGCGTCGTGCACCGGCGACAAGGATCGTGTTCGTCGTGATGTGCCGGCGTGCATAATCATTCATGCAATAAACTGTGTGCCCGAAACGAATAAATGAAAAGTAATGAACCACAGCGAGAGAGTTTCTCTGCTGGATACTGCATCTAGTTTCTCCTGACGGTGATTTTCCCTCTCCTCCGTTTCTTTTTCACTACCTTTTGAATCTCGCGTAAGAGATCGTTAGAACCGATCGGCAATGGTTCGCTACAGCCGAGAGTGAAGATTGCAGCCACTCAAGGCCGTATAGCCTAGCGTTTGCTTCTCCCTCTACCATGATCTTCGGTTACCCCCCACTATATTTCGTTGCTTCCTTTTTGCCTCTCTCTCCTTTGAATCAAAAGCAAACGAGGAAGGGATTTGGCATTCTTCCCGGATAATTACTCGTCTTTCATGCATAAAGAAACTTTAGAAACGAGGATCATATTCAGGATGATCTATAGTATAGAGGAGGGAACGGCCTTCAGTGGTGAACATTTTTAGCCTGGACTATACAGGGATAGTCTGCGAGCCGAGTATAAAGTGTATTCCTTAAAGTCGGAGTTCTATTATTTGTCGTACATAAAATAACGTACATAGAATACGGATTTTTTTATTAAAATTATAATACTATCATCTTTTTGTTTCTCCTTGAGGATGATCGTATAACATAAAATTGCGATCACACTTAAAAAGTAATATTGTACTTGTTCGATCGGTTGTCAAAGGCCGTGGGGGGCCTTTATGATACATACATCATCGATGGGCGGTTTCGCGTGAAAAATATATAGGTACAGGTGTCGATATGACTGTCATTACTCAGATAGTCGAGCGTTATCGCTGCTACTACCTCGGTGTTATCGCCTTCTGATCAATTTTCTGCCTCCTGGCACGCTTTCAGACGGTTTCTTTTTGGCAACGGAGTTTCCCTTTGCAACACGTCCTAAGACGTTCCATTTTGCAACATACCGCGTATTTAGAACTCGTACAATGTTGCGGTGATCCCTCGTTGCTTGGACCATCCGAACATCATTATGTCTATACACTTGCGATACAAACGAGATACTAATACGAAACAAGTATTGATGTGGGCGCGAGTAAATACACATGAGCGGTTTGTATGTCTATATACGTTCGCTGAAACGAGTCATAGTAGAAGCGATCGATTTGTGAAATTGAAAATAATTCGTTGGACGATCGTGCGATCTCGTAGGAACCGGAATGTTAACAGTTGTTCGCATACAGTAAGCTGCTACGCCGCAAAGCTGACGCCGAAATTTAACAGCCTGCGCTTGGTAAACCGCAGGCTACTTTGATAATGAAGGCTCGAGATAATTCGTAACATGGAAACAACGACGATAATTCTATTCATCCTTCGTAGTGGAAGAACGTTGGCTTGTGTGCGTTATAATACACTGGATTTCTCCCGAACAAGTACACGTACAGTGCATGGAAATTACTCAATTTTGAGACAATTATCCTGCCTCCTTTAATGCAGTAGTAATTATTTACGCTACTCTTACAGTTTATACAAAATTAACTGGTTGCTCGAAGTTGCTTTCCTCAATCAATTTTAACAACGATTTACATATATTTAATATAGACATAGTTTACATAGAAGATCCATTATCCATATAGATAAAACTTTTTACATACAAAATCCATATATTATTCACATAGATAAAACTTTGAGCGTGTAATTAATTTTGAGCAGACTGTAATAAACAGTTATCGTTCTAAATCGTCTAGAATTTGTGACACTGTACTTGTACTTCAAAATACAGGTAAAAAACGTCTAGAATGTTTGGAAAATTTTGCACATGCCACAACGGGAAGAAACGTTCAAGCTATAATATAAGTATAATGTTCATTCGCTAGGCATTGCCATGTGTTTCACGTCGCTGTAATTCTGAAGACATAATTGGAAAGTCTTTTGCATTTGTCAAATGCACAATTGGCTTTTAACGAGCAATAAAACCTCGTCATTGCGTGTGATGAGGCTCTTGATCCAGATATCGCAGAGCTTTCTTGCTGTTTTCGACGAATTCCTAAAATACAGGCAGGAATCCAGGTAAAAAAAAAAATCACTTCTGATAAGATAACGATAAGAAGGATAGAAATAGAATGGTTAATTACCATTAATCCACGGCTCATGTAGTAAGGCCTGTTGATGCCATCGTTCTTTTCATAGTCTTCACAGAAACAAATGAATATGGAGTCTATGATCATCTGTAGCATAAAAGTAAATTTACAACATTAGATATTTTTGTTAGATATCGTTTTCTAAAAGTAGGTCAAGCTATGACATCAAAACAGTTAAAAATAGTAGAATTTTCTCGTGATTTTAGTTTGATTCAGTTACATTATGTCCAATTTCTATTCGTGAAAAATTACCTCATAGATGGAAATGAAACAGTGTGCCACCAGGAAAGCAAAAACTCCTGCCAAAGCAATTGGTACCCATGGGTAATTGAGTCCTTCTTTCTTCTAAACACAGAAATGAATTAACGGATCTACATTAAAGGCAGAAACCTTGTGGAAGGAAATCCACGTACCTGCATTAAGTAAATCCCTGAAACAACTGTTAATGTAACCACTATAACCTTCCCTAAAAATAGAACAAAATCTCCAACGCTGTTAATTGCAGCAACTCTTAGAATATTGCTAGATAGAGCATGGAATGCTTTCCTGCCACCGCTACAAAAATTGCACCCGTATATCGCTGAAAGGAAAAATAATTATAATCACTTGAATTTGTTTACTAAAACAAAACAAGAATATTTCAATACCTGTCTCGATGTAAGCGTTTCTGGTGAGGAATTTCAGAGCGCATTCGAAACACCATAGGCAACACTGACAGCTGCATAACAGGCATCGTACGACATCATTATCATAACGTTTCAACTGTTTTTGCACGAAGGCAATCATGGATCTTATCAGACGAACTATGCCAATGACAAGTGCACCAAATGCAACTGTTCCTAAATGAAATCGCATGAGATAACCGAATCCTCGTGTTACAGCCAAAGAAAGATGTTTCTTATCTCTGTAAAAAAGAAAAGAAGAATTATCAATTTTTACTTTCACATTATTTAAAATGTACATAATTTGGATTGTTTTCCTCGAGGAACAAATTCTAGCTAATATATCTTTTAATTATAATTCGAACGAACAAAATTATTCTGAACGTTCAAAGTGTTTTGTCTAATAGAAATAACAAATTTATCGGTCTATCAAAAATGGAAGGAAATTTTTATCCAGGAAACAATCCACACGTGATATCGATGAAAGTGTCACCTGGTGAAGAACCATCGTGCAACAGCTAATGCGACAACCATATGCTGGCAGCCTAGGAGGAACTCGCAGGTGACGAAGAAGAAGAACACATTGTACCATCTACTTACCTGCAAAATATGATCTTGATATAATTTTCGTTCGCGTGAAATATTCTGGAATAATTGTCCCAATCACTTACGATCACAAGAGCGTCCTTCCTGAAGTGGATGTGGCCCTTCCGGTTCTTGTAAATGTTTCCTGCGCTCTCTATCCAGAGCATGCAATAGACCCAAGCGCACACGGTCAAACCGATCAGCAGATAGGTCTAAAATACAATTTTGTCGTATTTGAAAATATTTTTATACATTATAATGGTAGCTTCTTTCGTGCAAACATTTTCAATAAAAATATTCGTATTTTAGAAATATATTATTCACCTTGACGTGCGTTTTTAGAGTACATAATGACATTTTTGTGTAAATAAAAATAAAGCGACACAAATTTCGTTCGTTATCAAAGAGGAATATTAATTATAAATATTATTTCTTCATAAATTTAAGTTAACAAATATGACGAGTCACTTTTTTCCAGGTCTTTTGCCAATCAAACATTTTCTTGCAGATACTTTTCTTTTTGATAATGAATGAAACCTCGTGTGATTTTGTCATAATTAACTTTAAACTAAATCAGCCTTACTTTCTCATCTATTTTAAGAATATGAAATAACATTTTACAATTCTAAAATATGAATCTTTTTAATCAGCTTCCTCAAACTTTTTGCCAAAGATTGTACCAGCAGTATTTCTCTTATTTTTTCATGTGTCACAAAATGATCTAAAAAAGAAGTTTAGATATTGTTAAGGGACTATAGCAACGTGATGCGTACAATACTAATCTCCAATAGCTTCAATAAAGCTCGAGTTCCATAGTCTAATCAAGAAAATAACAGAGTGTATCACTGTTATCTACAATATGGACGTAACAAGTAGATAAATACGGAGATAAGAAATTGCAAAGTATATTTGACATCGATCAAGCGAAGGAAAAACAATGTCTCGAAGTGTTGTCAGTTATTTTTCGTATTGCACATTTTCTCGATACATTATAGATCGGTTTGTTAGAGAAGAATGGAAATGCTTGAGGTGAATGAAACAGTAGCATCAGCCTGTGTACACTCGTTTTATCAAATATTTACATATATCGGCTGAAGAAGTAGGGCAGGCATCGCGTAGACAGCTTTTCCCGCCTCGCGGAACAGCTGCATCACGAGGGCGATTCTTTTCCTCATCACCAGCACGATCAGAAGCGTGATCACCTATAAATTATATCCGGTCAATAACATCGATATATTGTTCCATCGTAAAAAGAAACGTTTCTCAAAATCGCTCGAAGATAAGATTCTCCATTTAAACAATTTCTAAAGAAGATCTCTAATTTATTTCGAGTAAGATTTTAACCAGTTCGTTTTACTCAATTTTCTATTTATTTTCTTTTACGTCCGAGAATTATTCAAAGATGTCGAATTTATTTCCAGTGAAATTTCAACCCTTTATTCATTTCGTTCTACTGTCTTATTCATTTGTACTTATAGATTTACCTAAATATCGATGTACGAAAAAATTTCCCAAACTTTCCTTATTTTTGAAGGTCTCGAGATGTACTACCTTACCGGCAGTAGATTACAAAATTACACATTCGTTTTACGCTTAAAAATGATTTAAATCTGCGACCTCTGAGTTGATTCAAGTCATTCAAGATTTACTATTAAATGAAATTCAATTTTACTACATACTTATATAAACAAAAATTAAAATTCAAGATTTAAATAACGATATTTTTTTTTTACCGTGACGACGGTCAGCGTGATCGCATATATGAGATACGCTTGCTCACTGGAGTCTTCCTCCGGTACTTCATGCGCTGCCACAGCCTTTCTCTCGTTGTACCACGCGAGCCTGCGAGAGTAAAAAAACGACGTTCTCCATTGAAGACAACTTGTGGCACAATTACAAACGACGATTCTTCTTTATTGAATCTAACGAGGCAACACTTGTCGCGTTAACGCGAGTTTCGATGAAATTTTTAGGTGAAGTAGATTTACCAAAGGTACGATGAACAGCCGATACACGCCAGAATAGCACCGAGCAAAATGATGTAAACGACCCATTGCACCATGTAACGGAACGCGATTAAAATGCCCAACGAGAAGGCTGAAATTATGATAATGAAAGAGTTAAGAGGAATTCGGAGAATAGTTGGAAGAGAGAGAAGAGATTCATTACCTAAAGCGATCAGTAATAAATAGACCAGCTCCCTCCAAGCGACACCGAGATCCCTGGAGGCCTCCTAAAATGGGAGGAATCTTTTTCTGAACGCGATTCAAGATGTATTATTATAATAAAATTAACTTTGGCCTATTGGTCTGAAGTTGAGAGGTTAGACTACTTTGGCTTGTGTCTGAAAAGTACGGCTTTGTTTGAGAATTTATTTTGAATTGATTGTGATACTTTTTGGAAAATAATTTTTGATTACTGGTAGAAGAATGTATGAACAATATACAGACATTTCTTCAGTTTCTTTTTTGAAGAAAATTTGAGTTTTATGAAAAGTTACAGCTGTAAAAACGCGTTCAATATTTCTGATAGGAGTGTATAAGGCTGCGCGCCATTTTGGTTTTTAAGGAATTAAGATAATTTACTGGTAGAATTTGGACTTTGGATAAATTGTGTCATTTTTTTTAAATAATGAAGTATCAATTTGTGAAAATAGGAAAAGATCGATTTTTTGAATTAGTCAAGGCCATCTAACCCCTTGAAATAACTTACAGTGTTATTGTAAAAGATGGCTAATTTTTTCAAATATTAGAACTATTCCAAACCTTGTAGAAATTTTCCAAACCGAGCTTCCTGATTATGGAAGTAGCTGTCTCGTGCACCTGTTTGCTTATGCACCGATTCAGGAACACGAAGTGGCTGAAAGTGAAGAAAAGAAGCTGCACAGGGATGAAGAACAAGAAAAAAAGAAGAAAAGTACTACCGACGGTCGAATTAATAATTATAAAAAGCAAATCGAAAGTTGTAATTAACAATGTTCCCGTCGATTCGAGTATCGAGTAAGTGTAACACGCGAGGCGGGCAGCAGCGTCAAAAGCTCCGCGAAAACTTTCAATTTTCGTGCGGCACGAAACACGCTTTCAACAAGCCCGTTTGCCGCAACCAGAAGTTTCGCGGGATCTCGTGCATCATGGAGTACTAACTCATCGGTACAGTTGACCACGCATTGGCGCGATTTCACCCCCTTCACATCCAGGGTCATCAGTAGGTACCTGGGGGAAATGAATAATGAATGAGCATGGTGTTAATGAACGGTGGCGTGAAAAGTGTCGCTGGAAATTGGAAAGTAGCCGGTCGCGGCGGCGTTTTCCAGCGGCGGGCAAATTTATATGCAACGTTCACGCTAATTAGCAGCGTTATTTCACGCGTCGCGCGGCTAAGTTCTCCGTCGAGATTTCACGGATAGAGGGACGCGGCTGCTGCGTGGAAACAACCATGGAGAGAAAGAGAGTTTAGAGATAGAGATTGATAGAGCTGTGAAAGGGGAGGGTTATCGCTCCCTCTGAGAGAGAGAGAGCCATTCTCTCATCTATTCCTCTGAGAGAGTTGTCCTCCCCTCTGAGAGAGAGAGTTATTCCACCCTCTGAGAGATAGAGAGAGTTATCTCTCCCTCTGAGAGATAGAGAGTTATTCCACCCTCTGAGATAGAGAGAGAGTTATCTCTCTCTCTCTCTGAGAGATGGAGAGAGTTATCCCACCTTCCTTCTGAGAGATAGAGAGAGAGTTATCTCTCCCTCTGAGAGATAGAGAGAGTCATCTCTGTCTCTGAGAGATGGAGAAAGTTATCCCACCCTCCTTCTGAGAGATAGAGAGAGTTATCTCTCCCTCCTTCTGAGAGATAGAGAGAGTCATCTCTCTCTCTGAGAGATGGAGAGAGTTATTCCACCCTCTGAGAGATAGAGAGAGTTATCATTCCCTCCCTCTGAGAAATAAAGAGAGAGTTACCTCCCTCCCACTCTATAAGAGAGTTACCCTCTCTCTGAAAGATACTTATCCCTCCACCTGAGAGAGAAGGAGAGACAGATAATTACTCCCCCTGATAGAGAGAGATTTATTCCCTCTCCATCACTCTCATTGAGAAAGACAGTCACCCCTCCCACCCTCTGAGAGAGACAGACAGCGAGAGAGAGGGATTTATCGCTTCCTCTCGTCCTCTCTTTAACGAACCGATAGGAAGGCTGGCGTTAATCGAGTCCCCGTACGCACGAACGTAATTTCGCATATTCGCGGTGCCGCCGTGCGAACGCCTCGGCTGAGGAATTATTAATCGTTAGCGGCCCTCATTGTCGCGAACTTGTTTCATTCATTCGCCACGCTACACGCGGAATATTGAATTCGGCATTGTTATCGCGTATGAGATTCGATGGTAATGCGTCGGCGAATTATTAATCCTTCGGGGACGACGCCGGCATGTTTCGAGAGCCTCTGATATCATGCGGGCTCGTTCGTGACCACCGGGAACCACCCGATATATTTCGACAGACTGTTGTTCTACGAATTATCATTGCTGTTCATAGGAACGGAATAGATTGAAAAGCAGGAGAGAATTCCGGCTGGTGTTAATGTTAAATCTTCGACGATCAAGTTGTTCGAAAATATTTACCGTTGTTTCACCCTTCGGCGAAACTCGTTAATAGAAAGATAGCGGTATTTAGACGTGACAATTTTGTCGAAAATTCACGTTGATTTTATTCCTCATTTCCCGTCGTAAAAAGAAAAAACAAATAGTAACTTCAAATTTTTCAGCCGCTTTTTTTCAGCCCGTTCATTCCCGATGGTAATTAATTGTTCTCTGTTTACGTATATATTCGTTGCACGACCACTGTTGAGATAATTCGTCGCGCAAGCGAACCAATCAAAACTACGCGATAAACTTTTTTTCATTGCTATCCATTTCCCAAAAGTGGTGTACAACAACCTGTCGAACAGCCAAAAAAAAGAAAAAATTGGAAGAAATAAAAAGTCACGACAGTTGCAAATCTTTCAACGCGAAAATGAAAAGAGAAACGAACGACTGTTGCCGTTACGCGTATCTAACAGACACACTTTTTGCTAAAACAATCCCACCGATTAATTGAAACCTCGCAAATTTCGTTATTCTCGAGTCACCAGTTTCCTCGTTAATCCTCTCGAAACCAACATCTTCCCGCGTTAAAGCTGAAGATTCGTTCAAAATCTCCAAGAATAACACAGAAAATAATTTTTCCACTCCAAAATCACCCGATTACTGCAAACAGTACCTAAGCTTCTCCATGGCCGTTTCCAATACCATTTTGATCCCGGAATCTCGGACAGAAAGTTTTCACGATCCAACTGGCTGAAACGTTGACAAGATTATGCTCACCGCTCTTTCGTCTTGTCGGCACCCTTGCAACTGTATTCAGGATTAGTTTCAGGCTCCGTGACACGGCCACAAACGTTCGCACAGTCATCGTAGCCATTTATAACACGGTAGATGTCCCCTTTCTTCACCACGTTGGTCACCAGGAAACCCTACGTCAGGGAACAGGAAAACGGCATGTATTTTCTGTACGTTCCACTCTCTCTCTGGGTGAAACGTGTGTACTCTCTCTCTCTCGAGACACTCGAGCATAACAGAGAGAAGGGTGAGAAAACGTACGAAACCAATTGTCAGGCCAATCAGCAGGAGCACGGGTAAAATATCGGTGCACGATCGATGGGTCACGAAAATCTGCTCCGAATGCCTCGACATTCCCTCATGGTCCAGTGTCTAAAAAAACGAGAAGAGAATAAAATCATGGTTACGTAGACTGTTGGAAAAAAGTCGTGTATGTGTCGAGCTTCGTTTTTTCTTTTTTTGTTCAGGTCATAAACGGCCAAACAGTTTTGAAAAGACCACAGGACAATGACTTTACGACGTGTCCAAAAATCGAAGACGAAAACTCGCACAGCTGGACACCACTCGCGCTAATACCGACCAGAATACCGTTACTGTACCCCGATATAACAAATAGTTTGCAACAATTTCCCTACTCGTTCGACAACACCGTCACCCCCGAAAACACAAGAGGCCAATCGACACACTTGAACCACCTCCTACACAACTTAAAAGCGAACCAGAAACAGACACCAAGGTTATAAGACAGCATGCACAGCCACCCTTAGAGCAGGTACAACTAGAGACGACGAGCAAAGATACAAGTATATACGTAAGGATACAAGTAGTAAACACGTATTCGTAATATCACAAAGTTTAAAACATAAAGTGTGGTGTCTAACTAAATACAAAACTACTTCAACGAGTATTTAAAGGACTCGAGAAGTAAGCATCATTTATTCGTTGCCAACGTCAAACCTTCAACGCTGTGACGCACCAAACAGTTGTTTCTTTTTTTATTTGTGGAAAAGCTGGTACGTTGAAGGGGACTGGAACGAAATTTAAAGGGACCTTTCGGGGTTTAAAGATTTGTCGGCGGATTTTTATGGGTCGGTATTAAAAGGACGAGTCAGCCACCAGTCTCGCGTGCCACTCGGAAAATTTCGTTTCCCCCCTGGGAATTAGATGTGTTTAATTAGGGAAACGGAAGGGAAAAATCGGTTTGCTTAACCCTACCGCAGAGAGATAGAGAGAGAGAGAGAGAGAGCGAGCTCGTCGTGGTTTCCTGCTTCGGCTAATTGCGTTCCAGTTTCTTCAATTTTCGGACAGAAAGGGACCGTTCGCGTGTACACGGGAACGCGCATATTTTCTAACAATTCTCCGGTGCTCTTCTTGAAATTAGAAAATTCTTTCGCAAAAAAATGATAGGGGGACAACGCGAGTGTAATTGGGTCGTGGGAAGATGGAGGAAGCGAGAGTAAGCGGCGAAGTCAACTGTCCGAGCAATTTCTGACGATTACATTAAAATTGTTCCGCGATAACGGTGACCGGTATAGTTTCGTCGAATTATAAATTCAAACGTGATATTTTCGCTGCGATGGCTGTGCTTCAAAGAGGGCGAAGCAAAATGAACGGTTCTCTCAATGAAATCGGTATCAAAGCGATTCAAAGAAATCTGCTGAAAACCTCATATACAGGGTGAACAGAGTGAAACAGAGCAGCTAATTATCCTCTGTTGGTATAGTGGTACGAGAAGATTTAAATGATTTCGAAAGGTGAATAAGATGGAAGAAATGGCAAGAAATGAAAGGAAGTTTCAGACATTATTGTGCACGTTTAAACCCACTTCGATGTCTACTGCAACGAAAAGTGAAAGAACACAGGTAACCTCGAAGAAAAGAATTAAAAAAATTGTTCTTCCATCTTATTCGCCCATTTAACACTTTGACACTTTGGAAAAAACGTGAACGTTCTATTTGTATCGGTATGAATCGAATTTTCCAATCACTTGTGAAAAGTCGCTAATGGGTCATTTTGTAGTTTCGTATAAAAATTCTCTCCCACCGCCCTGTTTCGCGTATCCCACCCTTCACACCTGAAATCTGAACTCTGAAAATGTTCGAACAATTTCAGATTTTCTATTCCCGCGATACACATCTTGCAATTCTCCCGTTTCACCGTGTCCATGAAAAATACGATTTCAAGCGGAAAATAGAGAGCGACGAGGGGTGGTAGGCAGGGAAGCCGGAACGTCTTTCCGCGTAACGATCGAAAACGTCGAATCTATTGGCCGCGGTCAGCATTCCAGTAAATTTTCAGCCCGGTGAAATCGAGCGTGGCTAAACGCTTTCAGCGAATCCGCGCCATTTCGCCTAGCACGAGGGAGTCGGTAACCCTGTTACAAGTCGAACGATCGCGCGCGCGGCCACCACCCTAAATTAATTAGACTGTTCGACGGTGACCTTACATTAGCGTGCCGTACGTAATTAAATTCTCTCTCCCTCTGCTCGCCTTATTAAATGCACGCCATTACGTTCCATTGATAACATCATCGCGAGTCCCTTCTACCCCCCCGTCTGTCTAATCACGGCATAAACATTTCTTATTTACCGTCCCTCTCTCGCTCTGTCGTCGCGCTAATTGCGATCGAGAGGGAAAACGTGGATCGGAACAACACACCAGGCCGGGGGTGTCCGATGGAATATCGACTTCTCGTCGATTAATGGGGAAGTGGTGGACTGTTGCAGGCAGCATCGGGTTGAGGGATTTGTGAAGTTTACGAGATTCGAGGTTCCCTGCTGAATTTTCCGTCGAATGTCGGGGAATTTGGTACGGTGAGAGGGACAATGGTTAGAGGGAAGAGAGAGAAGGGTGGCGGATCTTGAAAAGATTCTACTGGTTTGTGTGGGGAGGGAGATCTGTATAGAGGCTGGGTTTCTTTTTTATTTTTTTTCGTCGTCATTGAGACTTTGTGGCTTTCGCTGTTAAAAGATGGGGGGAGAAATGTGGGAGTAAAGGGAGTATGGTTTTTTAAACGGTGGAAGAATGAATCGCAAATATTTTTTTGGGGATGTGAACTGCGGGTAGCGAGTGTGAAGTATAGCGATGTCTACTGAAATCTAGTTAAATCTATTGAAATCTTTTGATACCTTTGAAATTTAGGGAAATCTACTGAAATCTTCTTACCAGAGGCAAGCTTCTTTGTCATTACAAATTTAACGTAAAATTACTCGGCTCAAAGAAAAATCATTACAAAATTATTAAGATCCTGGAAAGAAAAATTATTTATCCTAAAATCTTGGAGTATAACAAATTCAAATTTTAATTAATACATGACACTAACTTCACCGAGGAAATCTCTTGAAATCTACCGAAACCTGCTGAATTCTACTAAAATCTCCTCAAATCTCCTAAATTGTACTAAAATCTCCTTACCGAATGTAAACCAAGCCCCTTCGTCGTCACAAATTTAATATAAAATTACTCGACTCGAACAGAAATCGCTACAAAATTATGAAAATCCTACAAAAAAGAACGATTTATCCTAAAAATCTCCAAGCATAACAAACGCAAATTTTACCTAACATTGTCGAGGGAATGTAAATTTCAAATACTTATGAACCACTGTGTACGCGCTATCGTGAAGCTCCGAATTGCGCATTCTCAATGAAGAATTCGTATGATTAATGGAGTTTGGATTCAGCGTAAATTAGAGCCAGTTCACTGTATACCGATCGATGCATCGATGACGTTCGATTACCTGTTGACAACATCGTTACATGTGTTAGCAAAACATTTCGATCTTATCGATTCGACGATATCTAACGACGATATCTGTGGCTATAAAAAGATTCGTCGAACGATTAAAAATGCTACGAGAAACGTATACGAAACTTGGAATTTGTTTGTCTTTCGAATTTTTCTCGGATAAAAGTTGAAATCTTATAGTTGCCACTTTTGTCTGTTCTTCTTTTTTTCGAAAAAAAGAAAAAAAAACAGAATTAACGTCGCCACACTGTCGTCTGAACATTGTTTTTCATTTTTCCGGTTTATACGGAAACTGTGAAACTTCATAACGGGGAGCTCTGTTTTAAAAAAGAATGGCGGCGGCGAGGAACTCGTTCAATAGCATAAGTTAATCTTTAACGACGGCGAAAGTAATACAGCTGTTTTGATGTAAATTTTTGAGGGAAAATTAAAAATTTCATTAAGCCGCTTTCTTTGACACCTTGTCTTCTTATCGGAATAAGAATGGGTTTAATAATATGTAAGTTAGTATGCTTTTATGATAAAAACTTGCCGTAAATGTTCCAGGCGCGGGTCTTCTTCGTTATTTTTAAGTCTCCTTTTGTTTCTTCATCGAGAAGCCAGCCGTGGCTCTGATTTAATCCCGAACGCTAAAAGTGAAGCTCGACCGACCCCTAAATTACACCTATCACGCGTAAAAGAGTGTTCCGGGATGTAGCGTGCTAATTACAATCGTCGTTTGTCAAATTCGCGTTTGTTACTTTTCCAATCTTGCCATTCGTCGTTTGTTTAATTATCAATTAAAATTCCAATATGAAATGCTAATGACACAATTATCGATTTCACGCTGCAAAATATCCAGACAAATCGCAAAAGCGACCTTAATTACCGACAGTTGGTCAATTGTGAAATTTTTTTTTGTCAAGTGAAAAATTCGGAGTAGAAAATACTCGGTTTCCTTATTTCTCGTTCTTTTTACGTCGAAAGTGTTACGTTTGATACGTGAAATATCAACGTTAATTCTTTCGTCGAGATCTCGGGGAAAATTGAATTTTCGAGCAGCCTGTTAGTTCTGGATCACCCTGTACATCAAGGAAACATTTGGTAACTACAATTAGAGGATACATAAGCGGAAAAACAGCAGTTTCATAGCAGCGTGAATACACGCTCTCCATGTATACTAGTAGTCACCGGTTTAAGACCATCCCTTGCTCAATTACATTTCGGAATACGCGGAACAAACAGCTATAATTAAACCATTTATCTGCATTTACCATCGGAAGAAAGTGCTATTTAACACATCGTCCATGCATCCTTTACATTTGTATTTTATCTTTTAATTTTCCTGTCTCTTTTTCTCGTTAAATACACCATTTATTACGAAATTTATATTCTTATTTACTCGCTGTTCACTATTTTTCGTTCAACTCGTCCGCTTTTTTTTCTCCTCTTTAAAACCACAACTTGGTCGAACAACTTTCAACAGTTTACTAATGAGAACTACGCGCGTGATTTTTAACGAAAACTTGTTTTTTTTTTTTAATTTGCTGCAACTTATTCAGCGACAGTATATCACTTTGTGGATAAAAAATATACAAGTTGCCACTTTGTGTAACTTTTTTGTTAAATTAAGTCGTTCATTTTGGATCCAAGTGGCGTGAGATAAAACTTCTAAATTGAATTTCTGAAAATAATCGTCGATTTCGATGAAACTCTGGGATATGGTAGTTCTCGAAAAAATATTCGACACGTATTTTTTTATTTTGGTAACTGTGCACTGTGAAGGGGTGAAACCGACGATTTTTCCTTATTGTCTTTTATGCTCCACTTTGAAACGTCTACAATTTCCTCCAGACACTATTGAGTCTCAACGACCAATATTTTTTTACTAAATTAAGTCATTTATTCTGGATCCAAGAGATGCAAAACAAACCACAAATATTTAATATAATTTCCAAGAAAAATGCACATCGACTTGATATTTTTCATTTACCACACAGTTCCTCGTCTTTCACGTTCCACTTCCAACGTTTACAATTTCCTTCAGACACTATTAAACCTCACTGGCCAATATTTTTTGACTAAATTAAGTCACTTATTCCGGATCCGAGTTAAATTTAATTCCCAAGAAAAGTACACGTCGACTTAATTTGTTTCACCTACCACACGTTTCCTTGTCTTTCACGTTCCACTTCCAACGTTTCGAATTTCTTTCAGACACTATCAAGCCCGGTTTACCTCGAACGATATTTTCTTGCTACAGAGCCATATTAGAGGCTACGCGTCTCTTACAGCGTGTAAGGTCAACAATAACATTTGTATGGCGTGTCACGGACATAATCCCGCCGTGTTGAACACGAAATATTCCTGCGTACAATGTATTAATTCTCCGCGGAATTATCGCGGTGAAAGCGTAATTGTTTTTCGGTAACCCGCGAGAACGTTGAATTCAACGAACGAGAGAGAGAGAGAGAAAAAGAAGTGTCCAAGGAAGTTCATAAATGTATTCATGAAAATGTAATAAAAATTTTCATTCGTAATAAGGACAACAATGTACAGCAAAGAAAAAACAGAAGTGTAATTAAAAAGTTCATAGTGCACTGGCGAGGGTGATTACCCTAGAAAAATGGAACGAGCAATAATTGCAAAATATTAAAGTACAAATAAAAAGACACCGTTCCCTCTCCCAAGCAGAGCGCAGGTTTCGTCCTTTCGAACAACGCTTTCGCATCTGCGATTCCCTGTTCCAAGGTGCAAACTTGCTGCATAAATCGATTCAGGTCGAAGCGTACGCAGGTCGCCGATTTATCTCGAATTAAAGAAAGAGAAAAAACGAAACAGCAGGCATAAACTTGAGCATATATATCGCGAGCAATGAAACGTCGCGTTTATACGCAATAGCGTACCTTTGTCCAGCATTTTACACCACAAGCAAAAGGAGAAAGAATAGAGAGAGCAGGCCAGTACATTTATCAAAGCAATTTCTCGAAATTTTTAACTCCACGTCCTCGAAAAACATTTCACGTCACAATTCCACACGCTCCCCTTTTTTCCCCTCCATCGCCCAGAACCCATTTTTATTCCATCTTCCCTCGTCTCATCTCTCTCTCTCTTCGCTATAACGCCGGCATCTTCAAAGCGACAAAACAAGCGCTTCACGAAGCTACTATTTGTTTAACGTTAACCTAGTTATACGCACGGATACTTAAATATCCCGCATAATTCATCGGAAACGTACACCAACACAGAGAGAGAGAGAAACGTCTCGTCTGTGTATATGTCCAATACGTTCCTCATGAATAATTATCGCTCTTCTCGGCCATTACGCGCAAAAGGATTGCAACCGCATGCTGAACACCGCGAGCAACGAAATTCGAGTGGTATAACCCGGAAGCTTTTTCCTTCCGGTATTAAGTCACCAGGAGAGGGGAGGACCGGAGAAATTTTTTATATTGAAATACTCGAGCGGAAATTTCAACGGGCGTAATCGTAAAGAATAATCCTTACCCCAGGCTCCACCTTGGACGATGGCTCGTCCGAGCAGCCGCAACAGCCCATGCTTGACGATCCTTGGCAACAGCCGGGGGACTGCTCCTCCTGATCCTGTCCGTGAGCCGCGCTGGCCGGTGTCACGGATGCGCCCGCTTCCGGGAATAAATTAAAACGGAAGTTCTTTAATGCAGAGTAGTACGGGGCTACGATATGGATTCACGGTGTCGTCGTCGTCGTCGTCGTGAGAACGGTCCGCGGAAAATATATCGCATGCGCGAGGTGACGCAGGAGGACTGCTGTTGAAACACTTAAAGGTAGATACGATCGAGAGATAACCGGCGGGTGATAATCGACGAGCTGATGTTCGACGATAACACTGGAAATGAACGGTGCAACGTTTGGTATAATTCTGAGAAGTTTGCTTCTTCGTTTCTTTGGTTTATGAGTTTGACGGTTTGATGAAATTATGAATTAGGGTCGAAAAATTGGAGATTTTACGTGTGATCATTTTTGGGACAGGGGATACGTAAAAGCTTATGTCATAGGTATGATATCTTGTCCCTTTCTATAGAAGTTTCTTCCAAGAGTCTCTTTTGAGTTAGACACTCACACGGGATAAACTGTCGAGGGGTTAATGAAGAGTGGTGAAGTTTGGGATAGAGAGGTTTCTCCCAGGTGTTTAATTGTGTAGGAATTTGGTGAGTTTTTGTGGTATTTCGAGAATTTGGAATTTTTGTTTTTCGGCGGGATTTGTTGGAGGAATTGAAGTAGTGAAATTGATGGATCTGAGGATGAAGGGAATTGGAGAATTTCGGATTTATTGTCGGTTTGTAGCGGTTGAAGGAATCAAGCTACTGAAATTGATGGATCTGAGGAGGAAGGGAATTTTAGGGTGAAGGGAACTCGGACTACTGAACTTGGTGGATCTGAGGATGAAGGGAATTTAGAATTTAGAATTAGTTTTCTGTTTGTATTTTACTCGAACTACAGAAATTTCACCGATGAACCTGAAGATGAAGGAAATTTGAGAATTTAGAATTAATTATCGTTTCAAAGTGTCAAACTACCGAAATTTTATCGAGAATAATTCGAGATAAATTGAGCTTCTTTGATTGCACGTATCATTTTCACAATTGTAAAATTCACAAAATTGAAAATGACGACGTTGGGCTTGTCAAACCCTGTCAAACCGATTCAGGATATTCTGTTCAATTCGAGAAAGAATATTACGACCGTATTACTTGCAGAATGACAATTATACGGAATCCGGTAATACAAAGTGGCAAAAGTGGAACAGTGGTTTAAAGTAGAATTTTATTACGCGACAAGTGAAGCAAATGTGAAACTAATCGTAATATAACGTTAACGGAAGTTGAACTCCCGTGGGACGTTTTGACCCACATGCTCCACGTATGGATTAAACCAATTCGAAACTGTGAATGCTGTCGGAAATGGCTCGACGTGATACTTGAAGTAAATAATAAAAAATATGACCAACTATGAACATAGGTTGTAAAACCTTCTCCGATTGAAAACTTGAAGCTTCTATCAATAGAACCGATAAACTAACAAACGTCCTTTCTTTATCTTTATTTCGAACGTAAAATTCAAACAAAATCTATTTCTTTCCGTTCGATTTTGTTCAAATTCATATTCTCTCCGAGATTAAATCATTCCTACGAAAATATTGCTCGATATACGTATCTATACAATACTAACCTAGTTCTGTTATACCGTCAACCATAAATTATCAAATGCACAAAAACAAAACACTAATTTAGCTTAGCCAATAGGAGAAAAAAAAAAACGTGGTGAAATGAAAGGTTAAAGGCTTGCAGCACAACGAGGTTGCGAAATTAATCGACGTATCCCTTCAACAGCCTCACTAATTATCAAGATGGCCGATCGTCAACAACGAAACGTTTCAACGACGAGACAGAATTTAGCGTGAAAAATATATACTGCTTTTTTTTATGCTTTTCGCCCGGTGTCATTAATATTTCCCGAGACATCCTCTCTCGACGCGGGTCACGTCAGTTTCGATCGATTAATCGAATATGCCTGCACGCTATGGTAAAATGACTGGTACATAAGGTCCCAGAGTTGTTGCCTTTCTACGTATTTTTATTCCACCTTCTCCCTTTTTATTTATACATCAAACATTTCGAATAATTTGTTTTTTCTCGTTTTTCTGTTAAATCCTCGAGGTACGGTTTATTTTCCTCGACTGTGCATCTAAGCGACAGCTATTAGGTTAATTTACGTTGGGTATTTAGATCGATGTTTCCAACGAACCTTTAAATTTGATGAAAAAAAAACGCAACAGCTTGGAATTTCACAACTTTTTCCTATTTTTGGTGGGAATATTGTGTCACATTTTTCGCTTTCAAAAGAAAAAAGAAATGAAATGAAGAAGAAAAGAAAATTTACTCAACAGAGATTCAAACCTGAGAATTTCCAAATCTCGAAAAATCATAGTCCCAAAATTAGTACTGTATTAGTACTATGCTAGGAAAGAGAAGCTAATGTATCACAGATCGATTAAATCTGGCAATCTTCAGTTTTACAAATTAACAACGCAAAATGGAGTTAAAATGAATTTTTACTACCGACACAACTGTTCTCTACCAGACCTTGACCAAAAATCTGCGACGCGAGGCTCTGACTCTACCTTAAATCGTCGAATTGACAAAGACGTTTATTTCCAACGGCGAAACAACGCATCCAGTTTGTACAGTCGAACAATTCGACATTAGAAAACGACGAAAGAAACGTTATAATGTTGCGTTAGAAAACGAAAAAGGGCCGATTTTATTTCCAACGGAGGACAGCCTATTAAAACTTTGCCTCTCGATTAATCATCGGAATTGCGGTTATGAAACAAGATCGGTAATTGAAAAGCGAGAATGGAGTAAAAGCCTGCAACGGAAGCGTTCTTTGTAAACCTTTTTTGCGAAATATCAATGTGTCATTTGTTCATTTATACGTAATTAATGCGCGTTGAATCCTCTTGAAGCGTTCCGGACGTTTTCTCGGAAAATGTGAAAACTACAGTTGTCGCGTCTGCACAGCACAGTTCCCTTCTTCGTTATGTAGCACGAAACGGGTTCGCTGATTAAATAATTATCCAACGTAAATAAATGAATCTTGTAGGACTGGGCTAGTGCTAGAGGAGCAGCGTGTGTTCAGGTTAAATTTTTCAAACATCGAATCGCCATTTGGGTCGCCGCTAAATATTTTACGCGTAATGTTTCTGACTTTAAAGCATGCACCTGAAAACTTTCCTGTACCTCTTTCATTTTTAATATTTGTCGCTTCTGCTTTTTCATATACGAAGGATCGTACAGAAATCGTGCAACGACCTCTTTCGGTATTCCTTTCCGTATATTTTGCAAACAATACGTACGTACGTAGATTTTTCACTTTGACGGGCGGAATATCGATGACATGTAAACAGAAGAACAGAATATTTTTATATTAATTTTCATTGTCACGAACAATTTTGCTGCAAGTTGCTTTTATAAATTTCTACCGATCTCCGGAGGGAGGCAATTATTTCTTCTACACGCTGTACGAAGTGTTTGTACGTTGGTTTCTTTCTTTTTCCTTTCGAAATTAAAGCGATAGCTTGTTAAGAGAAATAAGTGAAACTTTGGTTTTAACCGCAGAACTTCAAATTGAGAAACATACTTGTGCCATTCATTACATATAAGTCACGTGAACTCGAGACAGAAATTGGACGCAAAATTTGTACGAACGATAAATTGGAAAAGCGTTGTATGTAGTTCTTTTTTTTTTTAATTAAAAAGAAGCTTGTCAAGTAAGTGAAATTTTGATTTTAAATAGAATACACATATCTGTAAACCGAGGAACGCACTTCTGTCACACACTGTATAGAACAAGTGACGTGAACTCGACGCAGAAATTGAATGCAAAATTTGTGCAAACGATAAATTGGAAAACTATTTTCACGTACTTTTTTCTGAATTAAAAAAACACTTGTTGAGAGAAATAAACGAAATTTTGGTTTCCAACAGATTACTCATTTCTGGAAACTCGGAAAGATACCCGAGACAACAATTACATGCAAAATTTGTGCAAACGATAAATTGGAAAATTATTTTCACGTATTTTTTCAGAATTAAGAGAACACTCGTCGAAAGAAATTAGCAAGATTTTGGTTTTAAATAGATTACACATTTCTGCAAACTCAGAAACACACTCGAGACAGAAAATTGAGTACAAAATCAGCAGAAATCATAAGTTACAAAATTATTTGGTATTTTTTGCAAAATTAAAGAAACGCTTGTTAAGAGAGACAAGCGAAACTTTGGTTTTAAATAAATTACTCACTTCTGCACACTCAGAAACATACTCGAGACAGAAATTGAGTACAAAATCAGCACAAACGATAAATTAAAAAACCCTTCGGTACTTTTTTCAGAATTGAAGGGACACTTGTTGAGAGAAACGAACGAAATTTCGGTTACAAACAGATTACACGTTTCTGCAAATTAAGAAACATAATTCCGTCGCGCACAGTGTAGAACAACACACGAGAACAGAAGGCAGAAATTGGATAGAGAACAGTGTAAACTATACACTATAAAGTTTTCACCTTTCGTTAAGTATTCCCATGAACACAGGTTGTTGCAACGCATCGCAGCGAACTGCATTTGAAGCGCGGAAAAGTCGATCAACGGGGACAGCGATAAAAATCGAACAAGCGCGGTTCGTTCGCGGCCACTTCCCACTTCCCAATTTCTACTTCGCACTTGCCACTTTATAATTCATTTCTCGTGCTTTCCAACTGCACACACAACACACACTCGCCGCCCCTCTTCACAAGTTCAAACGAGAGAAATGCATCGGGAAAAATTACCCTTACGCCGAATATAAATTGAGAATTCACCCACAAACGAGAATTAATTGCTACTCTGTAAAATCGTTATTTTTTCGCGATTTTTTCTCTTCCAATTTTGTACGAACAATTAAATTTCGAGAATAATCACTGTGCGAGGGAAAGTGTGCTTGAATTGCAGCGACAGAGTTTCGAAAGGACAGTGTTTGGGACTGAGAACTCGAGAATATCCGTGTGAAACGAACGAACGGGAGAATGCTTAACGAAAGATGCAGGAATTTCGGTGGACAT